ACTAGTAAATCGTCAGCATATCCTTACCCACCTCAGGGAAAAAACTCTTGCCCTAATTTTCTCTCTCATTTATTAAAGTGCAGAATTTACTATACTGTATTTTTTGCTTACAATTATTTTACCTATCCACTGTAAAACTCGCAAATCGCTGAAAATTCACCTTTTGGGTGCATAAAGCTTTTCTTGACTTGACTTGATAACTGGTGGGCAACAAGAGGGTATTTTTAAATACTGTTCCAACTGCTACGCTACACTGGCGGTCGGCGAATCACAGTTGGTGAAACAATCAACGTTAAAGTTGGACAACCTATTCACAGTTGGGCTCAACGGGTCAGCCACAGGGCGGAATGTTTCACTCAACATCTGATCTGTGGCTGTTCAGATTCTTCCGTGTTTTGAAGCCGATGCCCCGTGTTCAGTGACATGTGAACTTTCTGCGAAAACAGAAATACGATCTTGCATTGAAGGGCTGAAGAAAGGAAAAGCAGTAAGACCTTCCGGGCTTCCTCCCAATTTTTTCAAAATGGGTTCTTTTGGCTGTCCACTGATGTAGTTCCGTCATTCGTTCTGTGTTAAACTGTTTATTGTCCGTTTTTTCTTTCATTTAATTTTTGGTGTCGGGCAACAACCGGAGCCACGTGACCCAGGTTATTGTTTGACGATTTTATGGACTGACGATAAATCAAGCCTGTCCGTATGCAATTTGCCACATCGCAGGGCCCCACGTCCGTTATGTGGCGTCAACATGGTTTCTCCTTTTTCGTTGTGGATGTTGGAAGTGTCTGTTCCCTGTGTTGTGACTGACTAATGCTCAACACATTCTAATTGGAGATGAAATTCTTTCGCGTGGATTCGTGGATTTATAATTCAACGCGAGTTCTACCATCTCGTTTCTGGCATATCGATATTCGGAAATCATAACTTGTTAAATATCTTCCTTTTGTGTACGGTACAAATATGCGAGTTGATACAACTCTTCCGGTTAATCCGTCCCCGACACAATCTTCACATTGTTTTTGAACACCGCACTAATTTTTCAATCGGGGACTGATAACCAATAAAACACTGTTTTATCATAATTGTAATAGAGTGGAAGATACAACCCTATTTTACTGTGGTTTTATCCCTCCTCCCACCTGCTTCTTTTTTATTCAGCTCATTCTGCTTCCGATGTACCCAACACCTGAACAGTTTGAAGAAACTGTCCGTAAGCAGGAGGAAATTTGGGGCATTCCTCAGACTGATCGGCTACCCATTGTTCCAGGGACTCCGTAAGTGGTTGTTTGGTTCAGTTGCCCTATTCAAATGTTTGTGCAAATCAAGGCGTTTGTACGCGCCACAGCGTGTACGGAATCCGTGCGGCTTAAGATTCTACAATAGAATGGGCTACACACGATCTAACACAGTCGAATGACAGTTGGCTAAGTGAATCTCTGGGTGCGATCATCCTTCACCAGTGAGCAGCGGGCCGTGAGAATAAAGATGAACAGTTGACGAACAATGTTTCGTAACTTTTTTCCTTACACAATGTGAATTACAGTAAAAGCGGAAATCCCAATGGACAAATATCATACTGTAAAAGGGAGAGTAGGGTAACATTCACGTAAGATCCACTTTATTGATTCTGCGTTTGGAAAGTGGGGGGGGGGACAGCAAGTGGGAGGCTGTTGCACGGTTTGGCAGTTCGGCGGAGAAAAAGATCGGAGCAAAGAGGTACGACAATTGGGAACCGAAATCTGATAAGGATGACTAGATGCGTGTGTACGGGATGGGTGGGTAAACGTTGCAGGAAGAGGAACTGCTGAGGTAAGTTCCGAAGAACGAAAACCAAAGTAGTAGCGGTAGAACAGGGACAATGAAGCAACTGCCCGACGATGGGCTAGCGACTGCAGCCCGGATGTTAGGGAATTATCATAGATTATTCGGATTGCCTTTTTTTGAACACGATCAAGAAGGGATAGGGAAGAAGACGAAGCCCCATCCCACACGTGACTGCAGTATTCAA